AAATAAATAAATAAATAAATAAATAAATAAATAAATAAATAAATAAAAAAAGAAATAAATAAATAAATAAATAAATAAAAATAAAAATAAAAATAAAAATAAATAAATAAATACATAAAATAAAATAAAATAAAAAAAAAATTAAAATAAAAAATAAAAAAAACTGTAATAACAAAATCTTTAAACAATTCCTTCACTGGAGGAACAATAACTATTTATATCATATTAATGTTTCATTTTTCTATCAACTCTAACACATGTGAATGCCTTGATTCTTCTCTCCCTTCTTGGCTTTGTTTTTCTTGTGCAATGAAAACAGCAAATGTCAGATTTCATGTGAAATGAATGTTAAAAGTTCTTGGGAAGGAAAAAACCCACTAATAAATTGCTGTAGTCTCCAGGTCTCACAGACTCGATGTTGTTGTTAAAGTAACTGCACGGCCTCGGCAAACATTTCTGAAAAACCATGTCAGTGAATACATTTCATTGTTACATCCACATAAGAAAAACAAATCCAGAGACAACAACGCCCTCGCTGGACGCAAGCCGGGGCTGAGACAGGCTGCGGTGAAAAGGGGAAAAAAAAAATGCCTGTTACACGGTTTCTCCATGAAATACAGACGTGCTGCTAACTTTGACCGAGAACTGGGAACCACCGAGCTTTTCCAGTCACAGATATCGATTAGACGTCGCAGTTTCTTCCACATCGCACCTTCTGCTTCCGCGCCGATGGGAAAACCAAAGGTGAAAGCATGAGCTCACGGCTTTAGCAGCATGTGACAATCAGCAGGCCTCTCGCTGCTGACAGAATGGCATCACAGAGGAGATCATTGTTGTTCTTGGTGTGCTGTTCTGGGTGAGGCCCGTGTGACTCAGAGAGGATCCGTGGGGATGGAATCGAAGCAGGAAAACCGCTTCGCTTTATTCGAATAACGAACATATTTCGCACGTGTGATCGTGTTTCCTTCAATTGAAAGTACTTCTGATGACGTGAGGTTCCAGGAGCGCTCACTTTCAGCCTCCCAGGATCACATTTACCTAAAAGCATAAGCTGTGTAGGAAGAGGGGCTAGAGATAACATTTCAAGCATGTCCAGTTCCTGTTCTTTCAGACTTAGAAGGGGTGGGAAGTTAAGAAGCATGTGAATTCTGTGATAACATCTCACAGGATTATCTGGACAGAAGGGCTTCGAGTGTTGTTTTCCCTCAGATGGCCTTTTAAATGTATCTTTTCCCTTTGTATCAGTCCTCGGCAGAGCCGCGTCTTTCTCCATCAGCTGCTGTTTTTTTTTTGTCCCCCAATCTCGGGCGGATGTGGGTGATAAATATAGGCGAGACCCTCTGAGCCTCTGAGGGAGACTTGGAGGGCCACAGCCCCAAAAACTGTCAAGTGCATTCTTTCTGCAAAGAGTAACCTTTTATTTCAAACCAAATCCACGAGTGACAGGGCGCTGAGAGCTGAAAGGGGAGCGTTGGAGCAAATTAGTGTTGCAGCTGTTTACTGCCAGCCGTTTTTCTCTGCCCCCATCACACGCACATCTGTTTCAGCAGGACCGGAGTCAGCACTGAAATGCAGGAAGTTAATACTGTCTGTGTCAGACATGTGTAAGGCTTTTTTTTTTTCACCGCAAAGGATTGTGTTCATAATACGATTATTGAAAAATGCAGCTTTTGAATTTCAAAAAGATGCTTTCTGATAAATTCAGAGAACCAATCACATTCTGGACTGTAAGGCATTGCAGAGAACTCCTTCACAGACTCACAGCGCCATCTTGTGGAAGTAGCCTGAGTATGGACTCATATATGGAAGCTACACGCCATCCTGAGTACAACCCAAAGTGATGTGTGGATTATTAAAAGACTTTAAAAACTTCACTGGCCTTTTTACAAGTCAACTTTTAGTTCCAGCTACAGTTTTAGTTTCCCTATGCATTTACTTTTAGAAAGAAAAAGTAGAACTAGAGACAAAGCAGCTTGGGTTAAATTAGGGCTGGCTCACTGACTCTGATTTTAACCACAGCTGGGGAGTTTGTATGTTCTCCATGTGACTATGTGGTATTCTTTATGAGCACAAAGGCCTCATCCGGCTGTCCAGAACCGTGTTAGCTTAGCCGTGGCAAAGTCCCGGCTGTGTCACGTGACGTTGGTGTGTAATGCAAAGTGAAAAGTATCGTCTCATGTCATCTCGACCATGTGTGAACATCTTCTGACTGTAATCCCGAAGCAGCTCAAATGTGCAAAGAAACATATCGTCCGTGAGACATTTGAGGGTTGTGTAAAATGTGTAAAATCCCAGAACCAGTCTCGTCCTCTTTGTTTGTTTCAGAGCCCAAACAAACAAAAAAAGGCCTTATTCAAAATGTCATAGCAGCAAGTCTTAGTTAATGATTTCATAAAAGTCATATACATATATCTTTAGGACAGAAAAGTAGTTATGTAAATACTTTGTGATGTAAAGAACCCCTTCAACACAGATTCATTATGACTTCTCAAATTCTGTTTATTAATCATTTGAATGAATGGACGATGGATGGATGGATGGATTATGTTAATAGTTCCAAATTACTCGAACTAATTTCCTAAAACAGTCCTGAAACTAAGAAGGTAAAATAACACGGATACTTCTGCCTTTAAACACATCATTAAAGTTGTTTTGTTTCGTATTTTTTCATCTTAAGTACTTTTAAATGAAAAACCCAAACAGCACATTTGAATAGTGCCATATAAACAGTGAATGTCATGAGTTTATTGGTGTTATCACACGTCATCTGTAGCAAATAAAGAACAAAAATCATGTTTCATGACACTTTATAACAAGACAAGAGTTTTGTTGTGTAAAAAGGAAGAACTGTTTTTTACATGGTAGCTGGGTCAATAATTTCCTATTGCCGAAATAACTGTTTGGTGATGAAAATGGTAAACCAAAAGTTAACATCAACTCTTTGTTGTGACGTGTGGAGCTGAGATGGGTGAGTAATAAGCACTGAAGAGGAAACAGTGAAGAGATTTCAGTCATTATGTGAAAGAAAGCATGTATTTCAACTTCATGTGTAACAGAATTCAAATTAATGTTAACCACATTATCTGAGGCTAAAATAGACGTCTGTTTTGGTGTATTCTCATTAATAAAAAAAGAGCATTTGAAGTCCAAACTGAAGTAATTATCAAAGAGCAAGCAAGGGAAATCAAGACGTGAAAAACAAAAAAAAAGAAAAAGAAGAGAACAGACGACAAATTTAGCATGATGCAGAAAAAATATTCAGTCAGCCAAGATTCTGGTCATTTCCGGCTTGCACCAGAGATTGTGCTTCAACTTTGAGTAAACACCAGTAAATTTAGCCTTAAAGGGACCGGATGAAACTTTTCTCAACACAACGTGAGCAAGAGCTGAGAATTCACTCGTATCTGATCAAACAACCGGTTCCCAAACTATCACATAAACAGCACACATACTATAATAATCAAATAATACAGGATTTTCCCAACATGTCAATGATTCTCAACAAGTGATCGATTTGATAAAGACTCAAATCTTGTTTTGACTTGGATCTCAGCTGAAAACAACATCAACAACGACAACGACAACAAAAAAAAGTCTCATATTTACAGGTGAGAGTCTGTGGATTTGGGAGTTAGTGTGTTTGCAGGATGGGCTGCTTTAGACACAGCTCACTGCTTCCGGAAACGATGGGCAGCCGTTTCTCCATGTGGAACCGCACCAGGTGGCTGACGCTGTGGAACACCTGGTCTCGGGTCCGCACCTGCTCACACACACACACAAAAAAACACAGGCTGTCACGTCTGGGGAAATTCTTTCTGTGTCTTGTCCTGTCTCCATTGTTGTGTTGTCATTTCCTGTTTTATTTTGAAAGATACATCCCCTTGTTTCAAACCACTTGCTCTACCCTGTGTGTCACATGTCTGCTTGGTTTCCCTGATCGCCAATTGTGTTCCCCTGGGGTTCCCTTCCCTTGTGTTTAAATAGTCTGAGCCTCTCCTTGTCTGGTACCAATGTGTTTCGTCTTACGTCCTCGTCATACTGAGCAACCTCATAGTAATCCTTGTCTTCCGCCTTGAACCCCGTTTATGCCTCCTTTTGGAGTGAGTTTATTTTTATACTTTGTCCACAGTCTTGTTTCTGCCTCGTAAGAGTGATTTTGATTTCATACTTTGTAGCTTTTTGCCATCCTCTGTTTAGAGTGAGTTTATTTTGATACAAAAGAAATAAAAAATCTTTAAAAAGTATCAAATCAGACAATGAGAGACTCAGAGTATTTAAACACAAGGGAAGGGAACCCCAGGGGAACACAATTGTTGATCAGGGAAGACAAGCAGACATGTGACACACAGGGTAGAGCAAGAGACCAGAAACAAGGGGATGTACCTTTCAAAATAAAACAGGAAATAACTTGACAACCATGGAGGCAGAACAGAAACAACAAAAAAACTCCCCCAAACATGACACAGGCGACAGGCTCAAATGCAGCAGACGGCCCCACCTGCCCGTGTGGGTCCACCAGCAGGAGATGGCGCACGGTGGCCCCCTCCATGCCGCTGAGGACGTACTGACCGGAGGCTGAGCTGCTCTCTCTGACCAGGAAATCCCCGCTGCAGGTCAGAAGAGACTCCGCCTGCTCCCTGCCTAACCTGGCATTAAAAGCAAAACCACAGGTTACAGGGAAAAGATAGTCGTCGGGGTCAGTGGTAGGAAGAACCGGGAGGTGAGGTCCCCACCTGCCGTGAAACCAGCCCTCCTCCTGGATCAGGCTCTGGATCCCACATCCAGCCGGGCCTCGTTCAACACTGACCGCAGACTTCTCTGACCCTGATGGAGACACAACGGGAGGGGGATTTAATAGTTAACCCGTCCCACTTTCACGCCAGGATTTCATCTGTGTTTCTCTTGTGTTGAGCCAAGTCTTTACACTTACAGCAAAACAACATTTACAGCAGGCCCGACATTACCTCAGAACATTTAAACCTTTAAAGTGATAAAAGATGTGTTCTGGTGGCTGAATATTATAATGCAAACTGTGTGGGTTTTCCAGATGACTGCAGTTTGGATCTTTTAGTTGTAAAGCACACCTGTATTATTGCCCTATTTCTTAATAAGCTCTTTTCCAAATGTTATGCAAATACTTTCGGGGGAAATATATTTACAACCCTTTTATAAACATGAACGTCCAGACATCTGCCACTTTGGAACGACCCTCAACCTCAAGAGATTAAGTCATATCATTCAAGTTGTGATCAATCCAGATTACACCTTGGGATATTCCAGGATTCGACAAGCTACCGAATCACAAAAATGTGGACCACTAACTTTTTTACACACACACACATTGAAGGTGAGTTCACAGTAAAGTTGGTCAAAAGGTACTTGGTAGCTAGAACAAATAACAATAATGAATGTTCCATTTCCCTGTTTGAATTTGACAAATGTTATAATTAGACTGTAATTACACGGTTATTTTTGTTTTAATTTTGAAATACTGAAAAAAAATAGGAACCTCACTATTATGACTTTTTTTTTTCAAATGGTTTTATTTATATTTAAGCTATCTGAAGTCAAATCCATTAAATCTGATTAAATTTGCATCTGGTTTGGTAATTTTAAGAGATCTAAATGCAATGCTGGAATAATAATTCAGATCTTAATCTTTGTCAAATTTGCAATGAAACGGAATCACAGAAATATCACTGAGATTCTTCATCATAAGAAAGTAATATGTTCTAATTTACCAGATACTGACACCAAAATCCCTGTAAAGTGTAAAATAAATTAAGCTTAATACGAAGAATATATTTTCTATTCAGGGTCCATTTTGAAAATCGTGCATTATATCGGTGAGTTAAATTACTATATTTAATATGAAGTTGCTAGTAAAAGATGAACTTTTGTGGGGCTTGTGTTTTTTCAGTCAATAAAAACAACTCATAAATGACCTGGTGATTACACTCTCATACAACTAATCCTCTCTTGCAATCCAGTGGACTGAATCCCGTCATGGCCTCTCGGATCCAGAGCAATAATAAACGAGGTGCGAAAGGAAATACTAAAAGTGCCTCAAAACAGGATTCAAAGGCACTGCACCTACACGTGCACACAAAAACATATGTGCACACAGCAGATAGGATATGATGTGGGTGTGAGGCTCTCACCTTCAGGAGGAGCTGAGGCCTCTTCGGGGATGGAGCAGTTCTCGTACACAGAAACGGGTGGAGACAAACAGACCTGCAACAGAAAAACGATGAGTCATTCAAACTAAACATGACGGCTACCTTTTTGTGTGTGTGTGTGAGTGTGTGTGCGTGTGTGTGTGTTTGTGCTCATTTGGGGACAGCTATCGCCTGAAGGTTAGAGATATGAGGTCGTGACAGGAAAGCTGTTGCTTCAATTCCCAGACCAACGCGCTAATTCTGGGAAGTGAATGAAGAACAACACTGGAGAGCATCTCTATTACCGGCCAATGAGCAAGGCACTTCCTTGCGTTTCCCGGGTGGCCGACACATGAGATGATGATGCTTCAGTGGGCTTACTACGAAGTGCAATAATGAGAACGACTGTGGCATCAACTCATCCGCCAGAAGTTTTTATCACTATGTATTCAATCATGCTGGAACGATTATTAGAAAATGTGTTTTCTTTTAATTTTCTTCCGGGTGCCAGTTACAGGAATGTTACACCTCGCCCCACCGCAGTGCCGTAAATAGGTGGTTATTACACTGTAGCAGAGCTGCTATGTGGCTTCATTATGTGATGAAAAAGATGCTTATATAATCTGATAAAAAAACATTACATCATACAATTATTAACTGTAATTAACTTAGTTTCTTCATTCATTTAACAATGTACAACGATAAACACAAATCGTAAACATGCCAGAATCAGCCAAAAAGGCCGTTTTGACTTTAATATTCTCTGGGCTGATGTTACAGTCACCCTAGAATAAGGACACCACCACAAGATCTGGCGGAAAAACCTTCAAACCCGTCAGATTTCGCGATTTTTCTTTGAACCGCCTCATTTACGGTTCCGAAAGTCCCAAAAAAGAGCTCAAATGGCGGCGTGGTGATGTGTTTAGTGTCTCAGTAGGCTCTCACCTCCTCCACATCTGCATCCTGTTTTTTCTCCTGCTCTGTGACCCGCGGGTCCTCTGTTCCACCAGGCGGTGGCGTCTTTCCCGGGATGACATTGTAGTAGTCCCGCTCCCCGCCGCCCTCGCCTTCCCGTTTGGCCTTTTGCTCCGTTATGGCCTCCTCGGGGCACCATTTGGGGCAGATTCTCACCGCCGACCTGGGTAGAAACGTAAACGTGGCGCTCAGATCTTGTTGACGCGCGTGAGTCCGCGGCAATGTGCCACATAAAACACCTGGACAACCTTGGAGAGAGGAGCGTGGACGTTTGGCTGAGAAGCTGCCGGAAACGGGTCTCAAAGGCCTGGCCGATGCTGTTTATGACCTCAGTGGCCCGGCCCGGGGGACACTCCAGGATGTGGCAAGCTACCATAAAATGGAAAAAAAGCAACATGTCGTTTCCATGATATGATATGATGAATCCTGTGTGTTTTCACTTGAGCGAATGCTCCTCCTATTGTAGTCCAAAGTGACACCTGCCTCTTTGATTGACGTTGTCCTTTGCAACATAGGCAATGTAGTCAGCCATGTCCTGTAAAAAAACAATCAGGACAAACATCGTAAAACGAAGCTGAAAGCAAGACGGTGCGGCCCAGTTGCTTTTCAGCACATTGGCAAACAAACGGGAACGGCAACATACCAAGATGACACACCGTATATTAAAGAGTCTTTAGTTCAGGAGACAGATGGATGCTTCTCTCAGCCCGGCCTCAAGTGACCCTGCTCTAGCTAAATAGCAGCCTGGGTCGAGACATCCATAATATCTCAGTGATATGTCCTGACTAGCTGTAGTTCACAGAGTTTGATGATTAACAGCAGTACGGATGTCAGAATAGTCAGCAGAATTTATATTAAAGCACCTTAAATCACATAGCGCTGCATGCCTATTAGCATTTAACTTCTCTCCTTTTTTTTGTTTCCCCATTTTGCTTAAGTTTAGCACTCAATGTTTCATTAGGTTAATCTGTCTCGTTATGATTTATATTATAACTAGACAGTTATAGATATTGTATAGCTATTGTGGTTGAGCGGGACTGGTCTTAATAGGTGTGAACGAAATGTTAGCTCGTAAGCTAATTGTCAGCAGCTAATAGTTAGAGCTGTAACAGTTGAAAAGTGAATTTATGACTGCATTTCCTGATTGAGATTTGACATTTTGCATTGCTAAAGGATTTTATTTCAACATGTGCATATACTTTTGAATACATATAAATGTTGGCAAGTTTAAAAGTTACTTGGTCTGTTATCTCTAAACTAATAACTTTCCCTTGTGGCGGGTGGTACATTGAAGCCCTTATTTTCAGTAAATTGCAATCCATCCACATCCTCTATTTGATCAATTCCCTCCTTGTGTGTCTGACACTGATACATAAGCAGAGTCAGCTGAATGTGTCTCATCAGTTAGCTGTCTCAGATTTATTTTAATTCCTTTTGGCTCATGTGCCCAGACCAACTGAGCAAAGGTTTAGAGCACACCACCAGATTATTTCAGCTAATTAATTAAAAACTAAGCTGTAATCCCATTCATAGTTTTGCTGGCAATGTGTTTCTTTTGGACACTGGCTTCCTGTTCCCCTAATCTTTTGTCACCGCGGCGACACATAGTTAAAACAGCAATGACATATCAACGCGTACATGCTTCATTCTTTGTTCGAGAACATGGATGCCAGAAATTTTAGCAAGTCAAGCTGCTTGCAGGGCTTGACCTGGACTGGGATTTCCTGCCGGCTGTTCAGGAATTAACAGGCATGAATTGATTCTTATGCATTGTAAGCATTAAGGCCGCGGGCTATACATCCACTCAGCATTAATAACCCAAACTCTGTCAAGTGAGAACGACTTGGGAAAAGGTCGGGGAGAGAGGAAAACAAAATAAATAGTTAGTTTAGAACATCTGGGTTCAGGGGTGCATTAAGGCTCAAGAGTACAATTCCTCATTTGTGACACGAAGATGGAAAAGTTGCATTTAAGAAGAAATTTGGAAATATTTGTCTGCTAGCTGTGAATGATTCATGTAAGAATTTGAAGCAAATCACTCCTTATTTTGACTTTTCAAAAATCCTCCTCAGACTACACAGACTTTTTTGTTTTTTTATAATTTTTTTCTGTTAACATGTGAGGATTACATGATATTGGATTATATAACCTGATCTCAAATCCTTGAGATCAAGCTAATATTTTTTATGAGGAACAAATGATCAGTGGAAAAATCTGCAGGAAAGAAAATGAAATTGTTGCTGAAATATTTTAGGGTGACTGTAACATCAGTCCAGGGACTAATGCCGAGAAACAGATCCAAAAGATGTGGAATAAAAGAAAGTTTAGCATTTTATGCTTTCTAACATGCTTTGGTCGATAATGGAAAATCTGACCTTGCATCACCTTTTAAAAGTTTACTATGATCAAGAGTTGAGGTAGGAAATAATATAATCCTCCACACATGGTAGGAAACGGAGTGGTAATCAAGCTAAATCAAATTACTCACTGTGCGTGCGTTTGCGCACATGCTACCCTGTTTTTCTGTCCCTATCTGAGCATGAGCGTGTTCGAGCATGAGAAACATTGGAGAACATGGACGTACTGGGTCTCCTCCCGAGGCGAATGAGATGGCCTGCATTGGGTGGTGGGCAATCCTCTGTGGAAGACAATGGAGAGAAAAAACACAAAGGCAGTGAGGTGTTTTTTTACTCAACTCAATTCAACTCAACTCAACTTTATTTATAAAGCGCTTTCAGTCAGCCAAAGCTAAAATCAAAGCGCTGTACAGGCCATTTGTGGCAGGTCTGGTGCGGTTAACTGGGCCGAGGCTGTTACCTGTAAGGAGCAGGCGGCCATCACCGTCATGCTGTCGATGGAGACGGTGAGGATGACCCTGCTCCCGGAAAACTGCATGTTGATTTGACCCAGAACTGCAGACGGCCCCTTGCACACAGGCTAACGACGAGAATCTCCTGTTACTGATTGCACTTGTGTGTGCGCAAATCCATGTTTGTGTATCGGTGTGTGTGTTTGGTTCACCTTTTTATTTTTCACTGCCGTTTTCAACAGCGTCCTCTCGCACAGTCTACTGATTGCCTCCCTGCAAACGCACACACACACACACACACACACACACACACACACACACACACACAGATTATGACCATGAAATGCGCAAGTACAGAGGTACCTTTGTAAATATGTGATCTGGTGCACCGTGTGACTTGCATGTGAGAATATGAGAGGAATGAAACCGCATTACAAGCTTGTACAGTCAAAAAACAAGACATAAGGATCTTCTAATCCAAGGAATTTGGTTTACAGATGAAAAATTAATCCAGAAACATGTTTAGCAAAACAATGCACACGTAGAGTGAGAAGATTTAGTGGCTTCTTCTTCTTAAATGTTACTACTACTTCTGCTCTACTCTACACATCTCTGAGGTTATTTACACAAAACTTTTTTTACACAAGGTAATTATTTTGTCAAAAATAACACTTTGGACCACAAAACACATATATGTGATGGTTGGAGATCACATGACTTGTTTATAAGTCCACCAGACAAAAATGAGTTGACAATGTACTTGAAACAGAAAAAACAAAACAAAAACAAAAATATATTTTTTTGTTGTAATAAATGTATGCTTATTCCAATTTAATGCAAAATCTGAATCTTACTCCCACAAATATGGAGCACCTCATTTGTGCTACTTAGATGACGGCTACCTCTGATATTGTACGTCCTCACATTAAGTCTAAGGTGAAAGTTTAGCTATGTAGGAAGAAATGCTGCTTTCCTGGAAGAGCTGTTTCTCTCCTCGAAAAGAGATTGTATGTTCTGGATGGCAGTGTGTCTCTCTAGCTTTTTAATAAGACTATGAGAGATCATTAGGAGGAAATTCATCTAATTGGATTTTCTGCCTCATCATTAAGCATTGCTGTTGTGAACAGAGCTCTGCTGTGTGTTGGCATCCTGCACTAGGATGTCAATGTCAAATGATGACGAGAAAGCCCCGGTTTATGAAACATTATACATTTAATTTGATTTCCTCTCTTTGAAACATTTTTAAATAAGCCACACATGTCTGGCTTCACAAATATATGTTGCATGAAAGTGAAGTTATTTTGCCCCAGTAGGTTATTACTCTATAGGCCCGCATCAGCTTATTGGGGGGGTTGATAATTAGATGTTCAAGTGTCACATGTCAATAATCTTTAAGCATTACTCCA